GATGCACGCAAGTTCTCAAATTGCAAGAAAAAGAAAAATAGATAAAAAAAAGAGCTAAGAAACTCTAAGACCCGAGATACAGAGAGGACACTCATAGGTTCAAAATCATGAAGTCAATCAATCATCACTCGCGATGAACTATTCGAAAAATCAATTTAATCTTATCTCTACCCTAGAAAACTCAATAAGTAAAGGCAATAAAACATAAGATATCTTAGACCTTAAACTAAGTTTTCAAGTTTCTAGTAGCATTCCCGAGAAGATATAAGCCGAGAAAAATTTCAATCTTGACGGAGAAATAATATAATAAATTTGGGTCTTTGAGCCCTTAGAGAGAGAAGAAAAACAGAGAGAGGGATAGAAAACTAAGAAGAGAAAATTTTTGCAAATGAAGAATTGATTTTCAAAATACAAAGCATTAAGTCTATTTATAGTTGTACTATAAACGCACAATGAAAACACACACATTTAATGATCCACACTCGCGACTTAGCAAAATAGTACTCGCGACGACTGTGCTTGAGTGAGTTGGATGGCTGAAATGGCCGGACTCGTGACCTAGAGAATATGCATTCACGGGTGAGTCTTGGGATGTTATAGGAGACACTTGCGGCCACGCGAGCCAAAGCCCGTGGGCAAGTGTGCGGGCATGGCTGAGAGGGGACTCACGGGCACGCGGAAGCTGGTTAGTGGCGAGTGTTGGCTTTCTCTCGGTTATGGGACACTCGTGACCTGCGTGAAAGTGTTTTGGCGAGAATTGGAAAGGGAAGCTCGTGTGTTTGTGGGTCTTCATCTGCAGATAATTGTGGTCGAGCGTTGGGTAGGATAGAGATACACTCGCGTTTTGGGCAAAAGAATTCGTTAGTGCGAACTGGCATGGGCGCGCGGGCGATGCTGGAACTCGCGACTTGGGCGTGTCACGCAGTGTCCACGGCAATGCAAGAGTGTGCGTGGGGAGTTTGCTCGGCAACGTTGGGGCGTGCCTAGGAGCATCGCGCGCAGGCATGCGGGAACTTGCTACCTGGTCTTGTTACGCGGTGTCCTCAACAACGCTGGAGTATGCAAGTGGAATTGCTCGGCGATGTTGGGGCATACATAAGAGCGTCGCGCGTGGGCATGCAAGAGGTGTCTCGGGGCGTGCAGAGAATCGCTAGGTCCAGCGTTCACTATGCTTGTAGGCGAGGCCTAGGCTGCGGTGCACGTGCGCGAGGCTGGCTGGGGGCACGCGGGTTGCGGTAGGACTCGGGTCCACCGGGCCGATCGGCTGGGAACTTTCCAGTCAGTTTTTCGACACTTTTATGGTAAGTATTCTGGCAACGTCCAATGTACTTGGAGCGCATTTTCCTACAAAATAAAAGATAAAAAGAAAAATAAAAAGCAGAAGACACCAAAACGATACGAAAACATAAAGACGAGCAAAAACGACTAAATAGATCGAAAAAAACTTAAAATAAATGAATAGAAATAAAATACTAAACACACAAAACAACGAACAAATCCTCCAATGACGGCTTCTTTGGCTCGTTGAAGACCCTGTTGATCTTTGAAGATCCAATTCGTGGCTGTCGAGCATTGTTTGGATTGTTGTACGAGAAATTAAGATGATTCTGGTTTCTCGGATAGGACGTGTTTTCTCTTTGATACCCCTGGAAATTGCTGAAATTCTGATTATTCAAATAAATCACGTCTAGGATGGGGTCGTGAATTGACATCTTATTCACTTCGGCCATCTCGTTCTTCACCACTTGCATGCTGTCAATCACCAATGCGGCTATTAAGTTGCCAACACAGACATTGAGTCTATCTCATTGGCTATCGCCACCCTCTTGAGCATTGTCTACTCTACTGACCACTGGTAATTGTTAGACGTCATGTCCTCGATAATTTCTAGCGCCTAACGTGATTTCTTTCCCAAAAGACCACCTCTGGTAGAAGCATCTACCATCGCCTTCATGTTTCAGCTCAACCCATTGTAAAAGTAGCATATTTGATACTCCTTAGAAAACTCGTGTTGTGGGCATCTCCAGAAGAGTTGCGTGAAACACTCCCAAGCCTTATAAAATGGCTCTCCGTTTTGCTGATTGAACTAGGTAATCTTGGTTTAAAGCCTTAACATGGTAGTGTATATCATCCCATGGAGTGACCGTCCAGGTTCTCAACAAGTTATACCACATCTTCGCCTTATCTCTAAACAAAGAGAGATAGAGAGAGAGAGAGAGGCGAAGCATGATTGCGTCGTCTAATACTCCACTGATTTTGATCATCCAACGAATCTCCAAAAATTGCACTAGATGTGCATTTGGGTTGATAAACCTATTGAACTGGGCCGTGATTGGGCCTGTTGCTTGGCCATTTGACGTTGCAACTCCGTCAAAAACAATTGGATCGTTTTGTATATACATTTGTTGGTAAACTAAATAAGCTAGCTTATTTGGTTAGCTTATAAGCTTCTTGCATTCAAATAAGTCCCGTTTGGTAGGACGAGCTTATTTAAAAGGCTCGAGCTTATTTGATAAGCTTGTTTAGGTAGCTTTTCAAATAAGCTAGTTAAATTTTTTATTCCAGCTAGCTTATCAGCTAATTTTACCAAACACTTTTATCATATAAGCTAGCTTTTCAGCTATAAGTCATAAGCTATAAGCTATAAGCTAGAAAATTACATATAAGCTATAAGCTAGCTTATCAGCTATCAGCTAGCTTATCAGCAAGTTTTACCAAACATAGCCATAGTTTTTAAAGATTTAATTGAAATGCAAAGGAAGAAACACATATACATATTTTGTTTTTTAGTTTTCTGTTGTTTGTTTTGTGTGGTTTTTTTTTTGTGTCTAGATCCTTTTTTTACGTTGAAGGTGTTGGGGGGATTGTCCTCGAGTGATTCCGACCCCTTCCTGGTCGTCATTCGGGGTGGACATCTGACAACTCTCTTGGAGTTGTCGCGGAAGTGGGCTTGTAGTGTGGTTTTATGTTGTGTTGTGGCGTTCTTGTTTTTGTGTTTTTCTCGTGTTTAAATTTTTATGTGTTTTTTGTTATTCTCCTTTAAGCGAGTATGTATTTTCCCTTCAAGGAGTTTTATTTTCTAATTGTTGAGTTAGATAGTTTCCTTTTAGTTTGTCTAGGCTTGTTATAGTGTAGATCCTCCCACTAGATTCACACCACAACTGGCTTATTCAGAATTTCAATTGTCAGGTTATTGTCTAGCTGTAATTATGTGTTTTTCCTATAAAATATTTCCGACAAAATTTATATAACTACGTTTTTATTTATGCACAACATTTTTAAAAAATAACATACACCTTATATAGCATACGTGTTTTATAGCTAAGAGCATCTACAATGCATTGGGTCTAGTCTTGCATATGTGGCACGTAAATAAACTTAAGTCTTGAATGACATGGATAAAACTATGTAAAATTAACAAAACTCATTCAAATGCAAAGAGACTAGGTCTCTGCTTGGGTCTAAAATAGACTTAAGAGTAGGTCGAGTCTCTTTTTCTGGTTGCCACATAAGCAGGACCTAGTCTACTTTTATTGGGTCTATTTATTAGGTGTCATATAATTTTTTGAAATTGAACCCAAAGTATTGTGGATGCTCTAAATTACAAAATGATTGGATAGGAAATAAAATTGTGCATTACGGTATACCATTTTTAAAATCCAATATTATAAACTATTTTTGGTATTTGATTAAGACAAGAATCAATTTTGGCCAAAATATTTAGTCAAAAATCATTACAAAAGATAAACAAAATAAGTTGGTCCAACTGTAATTGTTTTCAATCACTTTTTTAGTAATATAAATTAAAAAAATATTATTTACAAAAATTATTATAAATTTTACTATTTAATAATTTATACATTTGTAAGTATCAATGACTATTTTATTATTTTTAAATTAACATCAGCTTTATCATCAACCATACGTTTTACACTATATTTTCCTACCCCTTTTTTTTTATCCAAGTAAAATAAAAAGGCATAGTGTTTACCGAAGCTAATGATAGTTGAAAAAATATAATTACAAAGACTTTCTTCAACGTAATTTCAAAATTTTCACATTATTGAAGAAGGGAAGCTACGATCTTGTTTCAAAACCATTACTTCAAGGTTTATAACCGTTAGATCAATTATCCCCGACAATTACACGATGATTTAACGGTTATAAATTTTAAAGGAATGATTCCGTAAAACTATTTAAACACATGTCATCAAATTATACGTGTGAATTAAGCCAAAATCATAAACAGTGAAGACAAAAATGCCTGGGATCTAGTATTTTATTACACCAAATAAAAAATATAGGAAAAAAAGAAACAGATCAAATAGATCCCCCCAATTTGAAGCCATTGGGTGGTGATCTGGATCGATTTCAAACAAACCCTAGATCAAAATTCCCCGCCAAGCCCATGAAATCAAGCCCTTCATCTCATTTTCTTGTTTTAATCCCTTCTTGATATCCCTTTCATTTTCAGATAGTGTGATTTTGTAGACTTTTCGGTTTATTTCCCATTTTCACGCGGAAGTGTGTTGTGATTGAATTCTATATATAAGTGTTTACATTGTATTGGGTTTCATCGACCCCAGATTTTCTTGATCCAGATTCATTACACAGAGTCGGAGCTCCAGTTGGGTTTTTTTTTTCTAGCCCCAGAAAAGTGTTGATATTCATTTGTAGTTCGTCAGTTTATTGTATAGGAGGTTTACAGGGGAGACTGGTTCGTTGTCTGTGATTCTCATACATTCCGTGAAGTGGGTCTTTATGTGAATATAGTGGATTTACAAGGGGCAAAGTGATAATGATTCAGAGTTTTGTGGGGGTAGCTGACTTTTATGGTTTGAGCCTAAATTGGTGGTGAGAATAGGGAGAGGGATATAGGTATAGCAAAAGAAAAAAAAAATCACTTTTTTTTTGGGGGGATGCTTGGCATTCTGTATTTCAATATAGCAGTTAAAGAGTGTTGATGAGAAGAAGGAGATGAGCTGTGGAGCTTGGGGATAATGAGTACAGGAGGAGGAACATTGGGCCTTCGATCTTCAGGGAGTTATGGTTCATTGCAACAGCAGCAGCAAATCCGAAACGGCTTGCTATCATTGCCTGTTCAAACCACCCCGCCTAGAAAGCCGCCAAAGATGCTCAAGGAGAAGGAGAAGTTGTTCCACTGGTTCTGCAAGTTCGCCCCTCGAAAGAAGGTTGGGATGCTGCTTTTGTGCCTTGTTTCCTCTGCAGTTTTCGGATGGGTGTTATATGTTGGCAAAGGTTTGGCTTATAATGATTGTTGTTGTTATAAGTTTCCTCGTTTTTTGGGTTAGGATATATAACTTGTGGTGAAGCTTACTAGAGATATGATGTTTTCGCGAGTTTGTTGATTTAAATTTGGTACTTTCAGATATGGAGAATTGGGGTGCAGTAGTGTGGATTTAATATTTGTGTTTGAATCGGCCACGGGGAAAAAGGATGAATTAAATTATTGTTGATCAGTAATCTTATTGCTCGATTTCGTTATGCTCTGTACTTTCTGTTACTTGCAGGGGAAGATGCTCGAGAGAACATAGTTCAGAGCATAAGCATTCAGTCAGGGCCTGTATCTCAGGAGAAGAACACGAGTGAAGATTTTTCTACTCAAGATAAAGATGTGGCGGGTGGTGCAAATGTAACCCTACCACCTCCCACTCCACCTCCATCCCCTACATATTTTACTGGATATAAACTTCCTCCCGGAAATCCATGCGAACATTTCACATTGCCTCCTCCGCCTGCAGATAAAAAAAGAACAGGGCCACGTCGTGAGTTTAAAATTATCTGCACTCATTTGCATTTTTTCGTTCATCTGTGATAATCATTGTTTAGATTAATTATAAGTCGACGTAGATCTTGACACCTTGTTCTAGTCATGAATAATTTTTTCTGGTTAAGGGTTTTCTCTGTTGTTTGTTTATGTAGCATGTCCAGTTTGCTACCTGCCTGTGGAAGATGCTGTTGCTCGTATGCCGAATGCATCATCTTTTTCCCCTGTGCTGAAAAACCTGACATATATTCATGAAGAAACTTTGACTAAATCTGAATTTGGTGGCTCAGAATTTGGTGGATATCCTTCTCTGGGATTGAGGAATGATTCTTATGATATAAGAGAGTCAATGAGTGTGCACTGTGGGTATGATTGCTTTAGGCTGCTTCAACTTTCATTCTTATTATTCAGTTAGTTTACTTTATCTTGTATTTGATCTATTCCATTTGTGTCTGTTGAATTTGACAAAAGGTTTGTCAAAGGAGTTAAACCAGGCCATCAGACCGGTTTTGACATTGATGACTCTGATCTTATTGAGATGGATGCTTGTGGAGGCGTGGTGGTTGCATCGGCAATATTTGGTATGGGCATAATTGGTACTCCACATTAATTAACTATATTGATGATTGATGATACTAATTGAGGGAAATTCACACCAGGGGCCTTTGATTTAATAAGGCAGCCAAAGAATATTAGTGAATATGCCAAAACAAATGTCTGCTTTCACATGTTTGTGGATGGTGTAACGGAAGCTTTTTTGAAGAACTCCAGCGAGCTTGGCAGTGACAAGAAAGTTGGTCTTTGGAGAATCATTGTTGTTCGAAATCTACCATACTTGGATCCAAGACGTAATGGAAAGGTAAAATATACTCCATAAGCTATCTAGTAATTTTTTTGTGCCCAGATTAGGATCTTGCTGATTAGCAAGTTCTAATCTAGAATGATTATCTCTATTCGTATAATATGGTAGTTGGGCTGGGTTATGATGGTTAGGAGAAGCATGTTGGATATTAAAAAAAAAAAATAGTAATTTGCTATGAGCTTTCTTGAAGGTAGGTATAGGACTGGAAATTGATCTCCGTTCGATCTTTGGGATTAAGTTCAAGTAATGTTATGCTTGTTACGTATTTTGGGGTATAAAAAAAAATCATATAATGTGAATAATATATGATGTGTCGTATTCTGTTATTGCTATTGATTTAATTCAAGTCCATGCAGCCTTGTGCATGATGATGCATAGCTGTACATGTCTTACAATTAGTCCTGAGGATTGTCTATTGCACCTGCAGATTCCAAAACTATTAATGCACCGACTTTTTCCAAATGCCCGTTACTCACTCTGGGTTGATGCAAAACTTGAGCTTCTTGTTGATCCATTCCAGATTCTAGAAAGGTAACATATGCTTCATAGAAAAGCTGTGGTTCATTGTAATTGATTTACGTGATTCGAAAGGCTAATGATCCTCAACAAGACATGCTTCCGTCTCCAAGAAAAATAAATAAACAAATGAATATTGATTTGGCATGACTCACGATTAGTTGATTTGCCTAAACATATAAGCCAAGTTTGGTAAACCTAGCTGATAAGCTAGTTTATAGCTTATAAGTGAATTTCGAGCTTATAGCTTATTATTACTTATGGCTGAAAATCTTAGCTTATATAATTAAAGTGCATGGTAAAATTACTAAATGAAATAAATTTCAATGAGCTTATTTGAAAAGCTCATATAAGCCAAGTTTTTATGACATATAAGCCATTTTTTTTTTTTTTCGAACTTATGTTTTATTTTTTTTGTTGCAGGGTTGAGATTGCAATCTCAACCTTGCAACATAGTAGGTCCCAAGCCCTGGTAAAGGAGGAGGGTTGTGATAGGCTTGGCGAGCCAACGTAAAACCTAGCCGTTCTATGGAGGTGAAACACATGAGAAACCATTTGTTCTCTTGGGTTTCACTCTAGCCTACCCCAACTTGATTGGGACTAAAAGGCTATGTTGTTGTTGTTGTTATTGAGCTTTGAAAAGCTACCCAAGGAAATAAAAAAGTCTGTCCTACTAAACCAAGCTTATTTAAATACAAGAAGCTTATAAGCTAATCGAATAAGTTATAAGCTAGCTTATATGCTTACATTTTCTAGATTTAACTTTCATCTTGCAGATTTCTTTGGAGGAAAAATGCTAGTTTTGCAATATCAAGACATTATAAGCGTTTTGACGTATTTGAAGAAGCAGAAGCTAATAAGGCTGCTGGGAAGTATGACAATGCTTCCATTGATTTCCAAGTCGAATTCTATAAAAAGGAAGGTTTGACACCGTTTTCTGTGGCTAAATTGCCAATAACCAGTGGTAAGCACTGCCTAACCTTTTTCTCTTTTCCTTTATTATCTCATACTGTATTTGTTTCTTGAGTGTAGCATTTATCGCGCCATATATTGTGATTCATGTTTGGTGATTGGCCCAGATGTTCCTGAAGGATGTGTTATAGTTAGGGAGCACATTCCAATCTCCAATCTCTTCACATGTCTTTGGTTTAATGAAGTCGACCGTTTTACTTCCAGAGATCAGATAAGTTTTTCGACCGTGAGGGATAAAATCTGGTCGAAGACTAATTATACAATCAATATGTTCCTGGACTGTGAAAGACGCAACTTTGTTATCCAGGTATTCATAATATCAAATAACTCATTTTCATCCTTCGTAACTTTACCCAGGGCTATTATAGTCATAGCGATCCTCTATTCAATTACTTCAACCCTAACCGAGCAGCTCATTTCCAGATAAAGATGAATATCTATCTATGTAACTCCTTTGTAAGAGATAAGACTCAAGGAGATGAGAAAATAGAAGAAACTCAAAGAAACTGAAAATTAAGTTAATCGAATTATGTACATGGGGGAAAAAGAATATGAATTCTAGATACTATTTTCAAGTCGAGTAAGAATTAATACACGTGAGACCATATGCAAGAGGCGTTAAGTCAATCCTCTCGAAGCTGTCTTGAGACTGTGACTCCTAGTCCTAGATGTTATTGAGCACTCAATAATGTGATATTATTTGTTTCCTGATCCATAGACGCTGGCTGCAGATTTCTACAATATTTCTAGTGTATTTTCTAGATGCCATGAAAATTTGAAAAACTAATACTCATAGTCAATCCCCATGGACAACTAATTCTTAGGGTGTGTTTGTATATAAAATTATCCAATCGATACTCAATTTATACTCAAAATCTGACTCAACTTCAACTCAACCCCACTTTCCTCAATATTATCAATTATCAATATAATTAAATAATATTAATGAATCATTCTTGCACGTCACATTAACTTTAATTCACTATTCATCTACTCACGTAATTTTAACTAACCATCACTTTACATCTTCTTTCTCATACTTTTACATCGAATCAGCTTTAATTTATTCTTGCACGTCACATTAACTTTAATTCACTTTTCATCTACTCACGTAATTTTAACTAACCATCACTTTACATTATCTTTCTTTTACTTTTACATCGAATCAACTTTAATTATTTTATTTTGAATATTATTTTAATATAAACTCAAAATTTCACTAACAACCACATTTTTTAAAATTAACGATGGGTAACCAAAAAAAAAAAATTGTTTTGAACGGATATATTTGTATCCAAGAACGTTAATATTTTCAATCTTATTAAATAACTTGTATAATATTTGTCGATTTTCGGTTATCCTTGTGAAACTTTATTCTCATGACTTGTTTATCACTGCAGGGTTATCACCGTGACTTACTCGAGCACTTTTCCCTGTCTCCTCCTCCTAGCAGTGTTTCTACTAGCGTTCATCCTCCTCCGCCAGTTATCATATCAAACGATAAATCGAACAAACCTTATTCAGGGATTTCATCATCAGACAGTACTGTTGTAGGTAATAACCGAGCCCGGAAAATACCAGCAAGACGTGGTAAAGAAAGGAGGTCAAGGCGTCACAGGAAGTCATTACCGGCCAGTAAAGATACCTAGTACGAACTAAAAAATTTTGTTTTCTAGAAGAGATTATTGTTGTTATATCATTAATTCTTTCCTTCCCTGTTTCAAGTTTGTCATCAGTTAATAGCGGGTTAGGAAGTGTATCCATTTGTGAGAGTTTATAGTCATGTTCATACAAACGACATTTTCCCTTTTTTTTTTGTTGTTGTTGTCCATCATTGTTTTGTCACATTTATTTAATTTTTTGTATGTACATATATAAGATATATATTTATATATATTAATTCGAATTATTCTACTACATGGCCCCTTTTGTTGATTTTACGTTTTTGTTCTTAGTTGGCCTAACACCTCTTTTTTTATTAGTAGAAGATTACCTGTTTAGATTGAAGTTGTAGTGATAAAGGGATGCTTATCTACCTACGGTGGGCACGTGTTAATATGCTCACTGTGGATATGGCATGCACACATTGGTGATGTGAATATGTTCAAAAAAATACATCACCAGTGTATGCATGCCACATAAGCGGTGGACATATTAACATGTGTTTACCGTGGGTAGGAGATGTAGTGATAATTCATACTTTGAATTACCAATAACCAAGGTGAATGATAACTTGATTGTAAATAAAAATTAAAAATAAAGAATTATCTGCATATTGTTACTAATATTTTTTTCGCTAATGGGAACTTGTGATTTCATTAATGAGGAAAAATTGTTTATGATCTGACCTTGATTGGGTCGGGGGGCTGTGGGTAACTAGCAGCAGCTCCAGCAGCTAAATTTCAGCCTTTGATTACAAATAAATTAAAAGAAAATCCAATGACTAGGAAATAAACAAGGACACTTCTCTCCCTCATTCTCTTCTCTCTGTGTCTACAGAATCCATTTACACACTCAGAGTTACAAAACCTCAAAATGGAGGAGGGAGAAAGAGAGAGAGAAGAGAATGAGGGAGAGAAGTGTCTTTATTTATTTCTCTGAGTGTGTGAACAAATTCTATAAAGAGAGAGATAGAGAAGAGAAGGAGGGAAGTGTCCTTATTTATTTTCTAGCCATTGGATTGTCTTTTAATTTATTTGTGATCAAAGGCTGAAATGTAGCTGTTGGGGCTGCTGTTAGTTACCCACAGCAGCTCCCCCGACCCTGATTGTTTTCGGGTGCTAAATTTGCTAAAGTGAATTGAACGGCCTTTAGAGCCCTACACAATTTCAAACTCTCGAAAAAAAAAGTCCCCTCTCGCGTAAACCTAAATCTCGAATTCCTGCCTCCCTATCCGCAACTCCCTCCTCCTTCCTCCGGCCAGCCGGCGCCGAGGCTGGCAACTCGCTCCCTCTCATTGTTTGTGCTTCGCTTGCCTTAGACGGCGTTGACGGGTCAGCCAATTTCAGATGCAGTGCGTGTGGAAACCGAGCTCTGGCGGCTCTTGTGTTGCCGGCGTCCCCACTCTGTCCGTGCTTTATTTTGTAAGGGTTGGTCTTTGATGTGTGTGTGGGGCGTGGAACGTGGGTTGTGTCTCGGCGTTGATTGAAGCGGTCTCTTTGCATTGAAGGCCTTTTCGAGGTTGAGGATCTTAGATCTGGATAGCCGTAGCCAATTTGAAGTGCGGAGTTTTTGGACTGGTATTTTAAGCTGAGGACGGGCTCTTCTATGTAGATTTCTTCGATTGTTGGCTTGTGAGGTTGTAGTGTATGTGTAGTTTGACGGTGGCTGGGGAGGACTTTATTTTATTAATTAGGTGCGAGTTGTTTTTTTCTTGTGTTTTTTGTTCGTTTTGTGTAGCTTTGTTTGTTTTTCTCTCCTATATGAAGTTAGTGTCTCTATTTTGAAGTTTTTTTTGTGGTTGTTTCGCCTTCTTGATGGAGCTTGTACCCCCTTGTGTGATGACAAGGGAGGTTGGTCCAGCCTTCTGGCTCCAGTGTGTCATCTGACACTTCAATTGTACTCTTTTGAGTTTTTAAGTTATTAATTTAATTGTCGTTTGAGAAAAAAAAGATTTGAACGGCCTTTAGAAATCAAAAAATCGAATTGCGTGTAGAAAATTAAATAAATTCAAATTTGTTAATTGATTTGTTTGATATAAACTTTATAAGATTTTTTTAATTTAAAATATTAATATTAAAATATTAACTAGTTAAAATCGGTTAGTTCAACCAACTAATACAATCTGCTATTACAAATTTCTGCCATTTACTAATTGTATTCACTAGTCCAATCAACTAATAAAATAAACTATTTGTTATATTTTAATACAATCAAGTATTCTTAGCGAACAATATTATTATTATTATTACAATCAAGTTTAGTTATTATTATTTAAAATAAAAAAAATAAAAAAAAAAGAGTTTAGTTATTATTATTTTAATTGAAGTTGTTGAAATGGATAATAATTGTTTGGGTAAAAACCTATTTGAAAGTCGCTACAGCTGCTCACGTTTCTTGACAAACGTAACACCAAAAACCCTAGATTCAGCCCCATTTCTGAAAACCCTGCTCGTCTCCAACAATTCTCAAAAAACTCATCAATGGCGAGTCGACGTTGCTTGCAATCTTTGACCCGTTATTTCCATCCCATCAAAAATCTAACCCCATTTTCCCGAACCCTCGCTGCCAGCTCCGTCGGCGCCCTCTGCCGGAAACCCAGTCACTACATTTCCGGCGACAACATTAGTGTTTACCCGCGTTCGGCCGTATTCACTCGGCACTTTTGTTCAAGGCACGGAGACAATCAAAATGATGACGAAGAAGGTGAAATAGAGGATGATGACAGTGAAGGGGAAGAAGAGGAAGAAGAAGAAGAAGCTGCGGGTGAAAACGAGAGCCCTGTTTTATCAGCTCGTGACAAGGAAAAAGAGGCTGCTGAAATCGGGTACACAGTTATCGGTCCGCTTCAGGAGTCGGATCAGGTTTTCAAACCGTATGAGCCGGTTTTTGCTGTTGTTCAGGTCTTAAAATCAGTTCCTTTTTTCCATCTTTTAATAGATTTTGTATAGCATTTGCTGTGTTTTACATTACCCTTTCCTTGTTCCCCCTTGCTCAGATTGGATCACATCAGTTCAAGGTGAGCAATGGGGATAGCATTTACGTCGAGAGATTGAAGCACTGCGATGTCAACGACAAGGTGAGGTACACTTTGTGTTTATTTGCTGCAAAGCTGATGTTTGTTTGTAATTGGCTTTGTTGTTATTGTTAACTTACATCTATCGATAGAGATGTAAATTTTCGAGTAGCGATCGTGTGGTGTGAAGTGAGTTTTCCAGTTCATGTTTGTGTGATGATTTCTTGAAACTATCTCAGGTAAGTAAGTAGGCTTCATGTATATCCCAAGTGTTGGCATATCTTGTCGCCAAATCTTCTGTGTAACGGGAAATTTCTTCTTAAATCGCATGGTCGGAAAAAATAAAAATTTAAAATATAAGAACACCATGGAGTTCCAATGTTCAAACTTCACATAATTCTTTCTCATTAGTTAATTTATCTGTTACTAATTGGAATCCGTCACTTCTCTGTTCATCTTTCTGTGCTGATTTCGTGACAAAGTTGAAGTTGTGTATCTGCTCATTTGAAATGTGCACCAACGGAATTCACATTTGGTGCTTTTGGTATCTTGCAGTTGGTCCTCAATAAGGTTCTTATGCTAGGCTCGCAGACACAAACAATAATTGGTCGGCCAATTTTGCCAGATGCAGCTGTTCATGCAGTTGTCGAGGAGCATGTAAGACAAAACAAATCTAAGATTGTGTTTTATTTGCTCGCAACCTGTACAATTATTTGATATTTATTTTAAAGAATAACTTTACACATTTTGGGGTTGCGAGTCATTCCTATGATACTCTGCTCGTATGTATGACTTGTGAATTATTGATTCATTCACTGCTTTACGTTGTATGTTTTGAGGAAGTTAGTATGCCCGACTTTTGACCAACTAACTAAACGAAACACTTTGCCCAACTCATTAGTTATGTAATAAGTTCTATATGGCCTCTCTTGTTATGCTTAAGGACAGTGATGATCAGTAACAAACATTACAATCGAAGCTTGTGGCAGGTAAAATCTGACATTTATCAAGATAAGGATAATGTTGTTCCATCCTCAGGCAAATTATATGTTATCTTCTAACAGATTGTGTTGGATTTGATCTTTTCTTTTTTGCTTATCCGATAGAAGTTTCGAATCCATTTTCATTTCTTTTTCTTTTCTTTACAGGCATTAGATGCTAAAGTCATCGTATTCAAGAAGAAAAGAAGAAAGAACTACAGAAGAACTAAAGGTCATCGCCAGGTAATCGAGAATTGTGATAAATTTCAGTTCGTTTTTTTTCCATTCTGATTTTAGTGGGCACGTCTAAATTGCTTCGTGCTTTCTGCTTTTCATCAATGTTTACAACAAAACATTCACCATACTGAAGTTCTCTGTCTTAATAATAATTTTCCTCCACATTGTATTTTAGGAATTAACCAAGTTATGTATAACGGATATACAAGGGATCGAGAAACCGGAAAAGATCGCTCCTTTAACGAAAGCAAAGAAAGAAAAGGTTGCTGTTGGAGGTTAATTGGTAGAAGTATAGAAGGGCCATTTTATCCTTCAGCTATTTTTTTTAATCCTTTCAGTTCCTTCTTTTTTCTCTCATTTTTGTCCAAGAGCTGAAGTTTGATGTAGCAATCAGTATTTGAAATTTTCATGTATCTGCTGTGTTTGAAACTATTTTTCACTTCAGTCATTGTATTTTTTAATGGAAAAAATATTCTGGTTTTTAACTTTTCATGCTTAGATCTTAGAAGTGTATGAATCAATAATTTACAAGTCCACACAACACCATCAAATAATCAAATACCTTGTGCAACAAAAAGACGGTTTTGCTATGGAGCCATCCGATGGCTCCATAACATTTATGACAAAAAGATTATAAAGCTCTCGAAAACAACAAATTTCACCAAGAATAGTCACTTTTCATTATTAACAACTAACAAGCACTTCATTAAAAGTAAAAATAAAATCTCCTAATACTGAAAATTTTTCTTTGTATTCCTCTAGTAATGGTATACGTGATCCGTGTACATATGTGCCGTCATATTCAACGACCGAAGCATTGCTTCCCCTTGTTTGTTAAACCCAAACACAGATAATCCACCATTGTTAACGTCGATTGCACGAAACCTTTGGACAAACATCAAACGAAGCCAAAATTGCTGTAAGAACCTGTTTTAGCTCAAATACACTCAAAATCAACCGAAATGAAAACACGTTCGAGATTTTTTGGGGTACCTCTCTGGGGGGAGCCCGTGAGCTGTGCAGATCAATGCCCTCAAGATCGATTTATGTGTGACAACCAAGAAATTTTCTCCCTACCCATTCACAGCAAATAATGTAATGAGTTCAATGTCCATGTAGAATATTAATTGGAAAGTATTATTGAAGTTATGGAAAAAAAAAAAAAAAAAAAAAGTCGTACCGGCGTAAATAAGATTTCTAACCAAGCCTCACGGGCCGTCTCCCACAACTTCCTCGTGGGATAAACACCGTTAATGCAAAAATTCGAAGGATCCTCTCTCCACTGAACAAACTCCTTGGGATATTTCTTCTTAGCATCCACTGCCTCCAAACACTAAATTCGATTTACAAAGTGATAACAAAGGTATATATATGTATACACATTTACATATATCGTATTCTTGGCGATAGTTCTCATTGGAGCCCACTGTTTTTCCTTCATTAATAGAACAATTACTAAAACTCCAATTATCTTTCAAAATTAGCAACATAAGTATAAAAAGAGAGAGAGAGAGAGAGAGAGAGAGAGAGAGAGAGAGAGAGAGAGAGAGAGAGACCATTTCTCAAGCCTTCAAGAAAGTACAAATGAGCCTCCTTTAGCGAGTCGAGATAAACCAAAGGCTGTTCCCTGCCTTGCCATAAGATTTCAGCAGTAGACTGCATAACATAGTACATTTGTTTATTAGAGTGGACAATGAAGAGTAAAAGAACTCGAGACCTACCTAACACTTAATCACCAGTAAAGAAAAACCTTGGCACGAGATATTGGGCTCGAAAAACACTGGTCAAAGTGCATATCAGATAGGGCAGTCCGGCATCTTTCTGCTTGTGCAACACCTGCTTCGGTTAGGACCGACAGGTCTGAGCTACCCTACAAGTAAGTTTAACAGGTTCATTAACGAATGTTAATTTAATAATAGATTCTCAAATTTTATCAACAAATCAGGAAATTAGTTGCTTACACAATACAGAATAAATTCATTTATTTTATTTTATGTTTCTAATAAACACTGCAATAACGAACAATCTACGTGACAACAGGATTTATTATCTCGGGTCAGTTACCAAATTGAAACAATACAAACAAAGTCACATTTTTTTTTTTAATCAGGCAACCGGGATTACAGCAGACAGAAAATGGGAGTTATTGCGAACAGATTTTACATAATGTTATCCGGCATTTGTTATCTTTTAGCTCTTACAGACGCGAGTCAACTCCACAATTCGACAAGGGTTAGTAACTAATTGAACTCATTTTGAAGCTAAAACAGCAACAGAATTTTTCAGACTCCTTAAATCGACACTGTGATAGTGTAAGTTTAAGCAAGAATCGGAAATCGAAAGCAAACCTGAACTCTGCCTTCTTTATTCCAAGAGCTAAGGCCATGTCGTAAGAGAGTCACCTTCTTTGGGGAAGACAACAGCTTCTGGGACAGAGAAATAGTTGCTTTCTCGAAACCATATGCCCCACCCGTCAAAGAAGCATTGTTTTCAGATACGTCTGCCGAATGTGAACAATGGAGTTATGCATTAAGTACTGAACAAATGAAAACTGCATATATGCTTTGATTCTTAACAAAAGTTGCTGTTCAGATTCAATGTGAGCATGTTGTACAAAGGAACAAATAAATAACATACCTAAATCAAGAAACAAGGATTGTTAAAACAAGACTCGATAATTCGATGAAGTTCCTCCTTGGCTATAGCAAGGGTACGATCAAGCAGTCATATTTTTTTCAATAAATACGCATACTTTCATACTGAAATGTCATAATCTAAAAAAAACAATATATAAAAAAAAAAAAAAA